GCAAGATCAATCCAATCCATCCCATCCTATCTCTCTAAGTTCCATTTTAATATTGTCCACCCACCTATGCCTTGGTCTTCCCAGTGATCTCTTTCCTTCTGGCTTTCCCACCAATATCCTACATTCATTCCTCTTCTCCCCCATTCGTGCTACATGCCCTGTCCACCCCATCATCCTTGACTTGATCATTCTAATTATACTCAGAGAAGAGTACAAGTTATGAAGCTCCTCATTATGCAGTTCTCTCCAACCTATCACTTCATCTCTCTTTGGTCCAAATATTCTCCTCAACACTGTTTTCAAACACCCTCAGTCTATGTTCCTTCCTTAACATCAGAGACCAAGTTTCACACCCATACAGAACCACAGGCAAAATTATAGTTTTGTATATTCTAATTCTTGTGTTTTTGGACAGCAGACGAGAAGACAAAGGGTTCTGGACTGAATGGTAGCAAGCATTACCGAGTTCAATCGCCTCTGAATTTCCTCCTGAATCAGGTTTCGATTTGTTATTGTTGTTCCCAAATATCTGAACTGTGCCACATTTTCAAAACATCTGTTTCCTATCTTTGTCATGATTTTACCCTGCATTTTGGTGATAAGACAGCAACATATACTTAGTTTTCTCTGTGTTTACTTCCAGACCAGCCTCTTTACTTGCGTCAATTAAAGTGAACAGAACACTACAAAAGCAAATTCTTTCACAAGGGGATCACATCCCCAGAACAATAAATATAAAAATTCAGAATACCTACTTGAGCTCATGTTTAAACTAAGATCAGATTCATAGGCTGTGCTGTAGCTCAAGCAGTTAGTCGCTGGCTTCCCACCACAGCGGTCCGGGTTCGATCCTGGGTCTGGTCAAGTGAGATTTGTGGTGCACAAAGTGGCACTGGGGCAGGTTTTCTCCGAGTACTTCGGTTTCCCCTGCCACTCTTCATTCCACCAAATTCTCCATCATCATAATCACCCAGGGCAGGTACAATAGGCCAATCAGTGGCTGCCATGCCAAGTGGACCCAGCTGGACTCCACCCCCACTAAGCAAATTAAGGGGGAAAAAAAAAAAAAAAAGATCAGATTCATCCTGAGAGAAAAGGGACACAAGCTTAGACTGCAGTGACCAGTGTTTTAGCTGCTTCAAACATTTCAGGCTTCCTGGAAATAACAGAAAGACCTGTTAAGTCTTCTCAGTTTTTACAGTTGCAAACCAATGCATCTAACAGAGAAAATAGAAAAGTTTCCAATGTCTGTATGCTATTTTGATACATTTGAAGGTGCAAGGTTGAAACTATTGAATTCTGTGTAAGAACCAGATAAATCTACTGACTCAATTCATAAGTGTCTGAAAGGCAGTAGTCAATATTTTGGCCTTCACTGTGATAATTTAAGCTCATTTTCTGCTGATAATGTGAATGTTAATTTTGGGAAGAAGAAATCATGGTACCAGTATTTGTTCAATGGCAATGGAACTCTTGTTACAGCAAACTGTAGTAATCATATTATTCTTAACTGTTGTGAATACGCTAGCAAAGTTTTGGGAATTGACACTGAGACAGTGATTCTGAAACCTTAATTTTTCATCATCTCTCAAAAGAAGGAAGCTCTTATATTTTTTTTTTTAATTTGGTGACAGTGAGTATGGCAAATTGTTAAGACATGTTCCAAACATGGCAATTACCATTAGTGAAAGCATAAGAGTACTTCGTACAAAATTCTGAGGCCATATAAAGCTATTTCAAAAGTTCATCTGAATGACTGGCTTATCTCATGCAGTTCTTTCAAGCTGGAAATGATGCAAAAGAAATTTTGCTGAAAAGGTATCTTACTGTCTACCGCAAAATCAGCAAAGTATTTCATGAAGCAATTTATGTCCTTGAAAAAAGTGATTTGTTTGTCACTATTTCACATAATGCAAAAGGAACTGTTCAAAAACAAAATAATATCAAGAATAAGATCTACAGTTTGTGATGATGGTATATTAATACAATTACTGTGTGTTAGACATTGGAGACAGAATCCAGTCTCTGGGAAGTAAAAAACAAGGTGATGGATAAATGTCCAAAAACAGAACTGTACTAACAAAAATGTCACAAGGCTTTGTGGGGGACATACAATAGCTTTATTAAAGATCTGCTTCCAAATGAACAGTACAAAATAAAAACAAATCTCATGTTTTTATGATTTAATCCTTTATTTGGGAAAACCTTATGATCTTACAGATGGAAATATTTCCAATATCCAATATGAAGGATGCTAATTCTTACAAATTTGAGAAACTATCTGCCTTCAATTTGATCATATTTGTGAAGAACTTGATTCTGAGGATTTTAAGAACGAATTCTGTAAGCGCAAAGATTTTCTTGTAGAAGTCGGCAATGAGAATATTCTGGATGATGTAGTGCAAAAGTGGATGTATGATTTCAAAATTTTGATCCTATCAAGGAAATTCCAAATATTTTCAAACTAGTATCACATATTATTTGATCCAACCCTTTGTCAAAAGAGTATTTTCAAAGGTAAACAACAAAAGAAGTGAAAGTACAAATAGGTGTTCACAAAACGTAATTAAATGTCAATTTCAAATTATAATAGATTTCAATCAAAATGTAATGATTTTTATGGACACACAAAAGTGTAAAAGTTGAGTTGACTCTGGTTTTTATTAAAATTATCTGAATCCTTACAGCAACACTATCAGTTATCAGTATAAATATTCTATTGCACAGTAATACACTGCACATGCTACATGTGCACTTTTATAATATTTTTTGTGAGCATAATGTGATTAGTATGGCAGGAGCCTATGGCCATCACCTTGTGATGCCTCTCCTTATTTAGGTGCTGGAAACCTTAAAACCTTACAGCAATATATGAAAAATAACGAGTTTTTCATATATTAACATTCTGAGGCCTGCCTATTTTGATCTATTATGGGTAACACAAAACACAGGATAAAGTGATAATACTTTTTCCAGTGAACACCTGATCAGAATTATTGGTGGCAGAGGATCTATAAGTATAAAGTTCACTCATAAGGAATGCCAGTAAATGAAAGTAGAAACTAAATGTTCCAACCGGTATGATATAAAGGCAGGGAACCAGTATGTTAAATAGGATTTCTAACTTGACTTCTTCCCTTCCATAATTGACTGGAGAATGGCCACATGTTCTGGGTTGCAATGTTGCAACACATGGGCCACTTCTTCTCCATCTGCCAACTGTACAACAGCCACAAAATATTTCTCTAAGTTAGCAATCACTTCTTGCTCCACCTCCAAAGTTGCAGATCCAGTCACATTCTCCTCATATTCTTTGTTACATTCATTTCTTTGCGCTGTACTTCTGCCTGTAGAAACAACAGATTTTGTAAAATCATTCACATCCACACAGCTTGGTGCCTACAGTAGTTCATATTGTGATGTGTATTCTTCGAACTGAAATAAGCCTATCTATGGTGAAATCTTAATACACATTCCTCAAGACTGACTTTTTCTATTACCAGTAATAATGATGTGGCAACTTAATGGAAAATAGCTTCTGTTTAGATAAGAAAACAGCTTAAAAAGATAATACTTTTTTACTGAATATTTTTCACAGTGTTTACATATTTGTTCAATGTGAACTGCTTCCATTTACTTTCAACTGATTAACTAATTTTATTTCAATAACTCTTTTTAAGCAGAATGCAAGTCTTATGATAACAGCACATACAACTTAAAAGTAATGTTGTGGATAATGCCAATCTCTATATTCTGGCTGGGAGTAAAGTTTCTTTCAGTAATGCTTATTAAAATACAAATATGGAGCACCCTACCAATCAAAACTGACACTGTATGGATGAAGTCGGCTAAGTTCATTTTTCATAATTCAGTGCTTCTTCATTTTACAAAAGCAGTGGAATGCAGTTTACACATATGAACTTACAATGTATGTCAATGTGAAATATATTATGAATGTTCAAGTCTTGATTCTTAGAATCAAATTGGGAAACAAACCTAGATCTCAATTCCAATGCTAATTTTTCAATCTTGAAATTTGTGTGTTTCCAGAAAATTGCTTTTGCTTCGCTCAGTAACATGTGAACTACCTGATCCATCAGAATAGTAATGGTAGATTATGCTAGCACAAATCAAGTTTCCAACAAAACCTGTCTACCCTTTTTCCTGCTCATGGTGAAACTGATTTTTTTTTAAATTAGAATAATTTGTGAAAAATGTTTGTTGAAAAAGAATCTTGAAAAAAAAAAAGGTTACAAAACCTGATTACAGAGAGAAGTAATAATTCCCACCTCCAATGGGAGAAGTCGTTCTCACACACGTCTAAAATATACTGATAAGCTATAATGAGAATGTTGTATTACGGCATCATATTGTGTGTGAGAAATTTGTTACTATTCGGCTCTGTCAAACACAATTATCTGTATACATACCATACACTATAATTTTACTAAATGGTTCAGTCTTTTGGAAATTACCAGGTATTATCACAATTTTGCATATATCTTCAGCTGATCTGCTGTTCTTCCCTACATTGGCCAATGTTTTTATCCACAAGTATTGTACTGACAGTACCAGATCCGCACAGCCACCAGCCACAAGCACAACACAGGTCAGGTCTAAAGGAATAAGCAAAATAACAAGGATAATGGCCTATAATGCAATATAACAAAACAGAAAAATCACATACCCACAGATCACAGTGGAGCATGCAACAAGAAAGAAATAACATGAGCATAAGATCACACAGAGGAAGGGAGTCACAAATCCCACAATGATAGCAAGACACAGAATAGAAACCTCACTATTCCAACATCCATAAACCACACAAGAACTGAAAATATGGTACAACTTGACATCTTAGCATTAACATTTGAATTATATCAATTTTAGCAACGAGACTATACAGGACTTGCATCAGTATACAATTAGAAGAAAATGATTCCCAATTAAAAACACTGGCCAATGCGGGGAAGAACAGCAGACGAGCTGAAGATAAATGTAATATTGTGTTGGTACCTGATGATGGCTGGAGGACAAAACATGAACTAAAATTATAGTGTATGGTATATCTTCACAAATAATTTTGCTGAGGGAGCCAAATATTAAAAAAAAACTATAATGAGGCTTCACTATACCACTTTGTTTATTCATACTGCTCGTGTTCATCTTGTAATGTATCTAACAATGTATGAGAGAATGAAATCTTGTGAAATACCTTCTCTGGTACCAAAGTAAAACATACTCTTCTTGCGGTGAGTGAGCATATACATTCCGTATATTAACAGCCACGGTTACTTACCTTGAAGAAATGTAAGGATAGTAAGAAAGCAGTTGAAAGTTGGAGGATGGAAGAAACCCATATCTTCTAATAAGGAGCTCATCACTGTTGCTGCCAACATTATGAATTCACCCTGATGTTCACTGAGCTGATTTGAGGGTTTATCTACAATTAAATGGTTACACATACTGGTACCCAATGCTTCGGCACGGCTACCTATAGAAATCATAATCAAGTAATATAATTTACAGTCATTTCTGCTATGAGGCAGTGTTCTCTCAGCCATTTGCACCATGAAACATTTTCCTAGGCAATGCCTGTATCAGCAATATTTTGCCAAAATGATGTAAAATTCCAATTACAGTGCATATCACTACTGCTTAAAAATTCTCAATCAAATGCCAATGTAATATGTGTTAAGTCTCACAACTTAACAAGAAGAGCAAGTAAATGCATGAAAGAGTGTGTTCCCTCACTCAAATTTCCCTGTAGAGTTGCATTCCACATTTTTTAGCATGATCCCACATTGAACATGATGACTAATATATTTTAGTAAGGTAAGGTAAAGTTGTTCCTGTGCTTAACTAATTAGGCACTATGACCTGAAAGCGTATGTGGGAGTGGATATATAGATACACATTTTCTTGACCTTGGCAATAGTTGGTCAGTGGTCAGTTTAATGCCCCTGCCAACTTACGCCTGGTACCCACTGAATAGGTTGGGTGGACCCCAGAGCCCATGTGGATGGCATGCAGAAGAGAAAATTCTCTACCCATAGCCAGTGGCTATACCGACTAGACTCTCCAAATATTTTAGTAAGAATTTGTAATACAAACTTCATCATCAATATTTAGTCAGAATGGAATGAGTGAATAGATATTAAAAAATGAAGTATCCATATATTGTGAAGCAAACCTAGAAACAGGTACACAAAAAGAATGCTTACATATGTTGAGGAAAGTACAAATAGGCTTACACTGTAACTGCCTCCAAACTTGAAGGGAAGGGGCAGAATGGGATTTTGGTAAACAAATTTTATTTACTGTATTTATTCTATGTTTATTTTATGATTTTTTCAATAGCTCAGACCAGCATCCAATGACTAAACAATTAGAGAATAACAAAATGGAGAGGATGTGGATGGAAGCCATTGTCAAGTAACTTGCAGTACTATCTTGTCATGTGCATGAAGGAATTGAGGAAAACCAGGGAAAATCCTTAATCATGACAGTCTTTAGCTGTCATGTGCATGAAGGAACTGAGGAAAACCAGGGAAAATCCTCAATCATGACAGTCTTTAGGCAACTTTACAACATCTTATAGGAAGAAAACAGTATTGTAAAATCTGGTACAGCTGTAACTGTAACCAAGCACATCATAAATGTATACAGGAGGCACATAAAAAAGCGCCACACATTATTAACCTTGACACGAAAGGAAGGTGAGTGGTCAAACATATTTTGGAAGCTATAACAAAAGGGAAACAGTCCCAGTATCCATTACACAGTTTCTGCATGTGTAAAAATAAAAAATATATATCCATTGGGAATTAAACCGGTTACCCAGTCTGTAGCCAGTCACTTCACTGAGCAAGCTATCTCAGCCTCTTACAGAATTCAATATGCAACCTAAATAAGATTTTAATTTCATGGACATAAATTTGCAAATATTGACATATTTTATGTAATCAAAATATGTTAGGGAACAAAACTATACAGATGGACAACTTCTTGTAACTAACCTAAATGATACTGACCCAATGCTACTTTTCCTTGAGGAAATGATGTAAAAGTGGACAGAACTGATGCCCAATGACATACAGCCTTCTCCAGCTTAATATCTGGGCACAAGTCCTCATCCTTGCTACTTTCATGATGCAGTTGCTTCAATGCCTCCACTAGAGCCAACACAATATCTACAAAGTAAAGACAGTATACAGTCCCCAACTGTTTCAGAAACTTAACATCCTACATACTAGTAGATTCTAAAGGATTCTGGTGATGGTGTATAACACACAGAACTACTGGGTTTTTGGGCTTTGTCCATCATCTGGTATTCTAAAAAATAGGAAACACAACTTTTCAGAAACTGGATCTGTTTCTGTCATCAGTTGAAGGGGGAGACAGCTACTCTGTTGGGACCCTGTTGCCTCTCCCTCACCTAAAGATGAAAACAGATTCAGTTTTCCTGAATGTTGAGTTTTATAGTTTTTAGAATACCAGACAATCGACAAAGTACAAAAACCCAGTAGTTTTGAATTCTGTATACCGTCTGAGTAGTGACCACAGCTGGTAGCTTCCTCGATTTTACCTACCAGCGATGTGGGATCTCTCCACTGTCATTCCTCACCTCTTCACCACCACATGACTTGAGGACTCAGACTGCATGCACTCCATACATGGATATGGAAGGTAGAGCCTGATAAATGGTGTGCACTTTTTAACCTATCTAATGCTGTAATTATTTTAAAGTGAATGAATGTTGGAAAGCATTTTCAGTGCTCAACCAGTATAAACAGTGACCCAGTAGGCAAGACTTCATGTTCTTACAGCAGTAAATATGAAGATCACTGTCTTCTGTGAGATGGTTACAGGCATTTTGGAGGAATATGCTGTCACAATATTCCAGTGCCAGTACATTCAGCTTACACTGCTACTCTCCAGATGGAAGTAGCATGTTCCTACAGAACACTGGTACCAACATTGCAGAATACTTGGCATCACATCCCATAAGGCAGAAATCTTTGATCAACTAGAAGTTCAAGTCTGTGATGTCATATAAAGTAACAAAGAAGAGTGAATATTCAGGCCATGTCTTAAGAAGCTGGAATTATTATGGCTTATGTCAGGCCAATTTAACCAAGATTTCCGAATAAGATGCACTTCAGCCAAATTTGTTCTGTTACTGTTGACAAAATCTGTGACTTCTGATTTGTCTTAACATGCAAAAACCAACAAAAATTTCTTTACATACATGCACAACAGAAGAAACATCCATCTATAGTTATGATCCCGAAATAAAGCAACAATGATCATGATTAAAACACCTTTCTTGATGTCTGAAAAAGCACACCAATTGTGCAGCAAAACCAAAGTGATATGTTCAACCCAATTACTAAGAGTTGTTCACCACAGTATGCTCCATAAAGTCAAACTATCAATTAACATTTTTATTTACAAATGCTGAGACACCTTAGTGATTCAGCACATTATAATTAGTCACTAAACTGGCAATTTGGTAAATTGCATATTCAGTATGAAAATACATATGTATCAGGCTGTGCAGCAATTTTTAGCTGAACACCACATTACATAAGCGAGGAAGTTTCCCTGCTCTTCTGCACTGAAAACAAGGCGATGTGTGTGGTGGATAGGAGTGGTCAATCCTGACCATACTACTGTCACACAGTGAGCTTCAGTGTACCAGTGCAATGGTATTTTCAGAAAATCATACACAGTACACACAGGTATGTCCTGGTAATTGCTCACCTCCTATTTGTTCAAGGAAGGTGGCACGTATGGCACCCCGTGACTTTCTTCTCATATGGAAACTAAATTAAACTTTGAAAAAGAAAGGCAAGAAATCTGATGATGTTGGAACAATGAACATAATGCAATGGGGTGGCTTCTAGCAATCCCAAAAAATTTAGTTGTGGGAATGTCATCACTTTTCTGTAAGCAGAGTCCACAAGCCTAACACAATTAAAAGACTAGCTGAAGATGTCCCCTTAGTTCATAAATATTTCTGCAACAGGAATGTAAACAGTATACCTGGACTTGCAATATGCATTCCAAGAAGGCCATTATTAACAGGCACACAAGACAATGAATCCAACATCGCCAGTGAATTACATATCAGCTCCTCTGTAACAGATGGAAGAACAATGTAATTAATGTTTCTGGAATAACACTTCTGGGAGAAGTTTAAAATTGCAGACTTGTGCAGTCATTCAAGTCACACATTGCAAATCTGCTACTACTACAAGATATATATCATGTCTATCTGATTATAACCTTACAATGAGACTGACAAGGGTGATGAAATTTTCAATTTACTTACATTTTCTGCTCAAAATTATATCCCAAACATCTTACTAAGACTTTTAATTGCCTTGTCAGTGTGGACACGCACATGCACGTATATTTAGCATCTACTGAACTATAGTTATCAACTATCCATAGCAATGGACAGGAGAAGTAGCACAGGTAATTATAAACAATGGATGAAGATTTCAGTCTTCTTGGATATAATGCCATGTATTCCAGTGAAAGTCAACCAACATTTTAGAGGACCATATTGCCTGCATTTTCAGGGTCAAATAGTAAGCCAAGCATGAATCCGACATTAAGCAAGCAGCTTGCTCTGCCTGCTGGGCTTATAATTTGACCCNAAGTTAAGTGACTTTTCAGGAAAAAAAAAAAAAAAAAAGGTAAAGTTATCCCAGTGCTTAACTAACTCAGCATTATTCCATGAAGACATATGGGGGAGTGGATCCACATTTTCTTGACCTCAACACCAGTTCAAGGTGAGTGGTCAGTTTCACGCCACATTAAATCACAACTCCACTGAATTCACACAACTGACAGTGAAAATTTGTCTCCAACAAAGGGCGAGATTTATAACAGAATCTAGATATCTGAGCAAGCCTGGGGTTCCTTGTACAAGATTTTATATTAATTGCTACCAGGTAATGATCACAAGGTTCCACAAACAGCAACAGTAAGATGTTATTAATAATACCCTTTCATTTTTAATTTATCAAATATGTTACAGGAAGTGGTGTCCATCTCTCAGCATTGTAACATCCTCTTTGCATCAGTTGCAACTAGTTCACTGGAATGTTGATAGAGGTGCCACTTAATGGCCTCCCAATGGGAACAGCTCTCACACTGCTAATGTCTGTGTCACCCAAGAGTAATCCTGATGTCAATAAAGCTATGAAGTACTTTCTCACCGTCATGTTACATGACTGCTTGTGAGTACAGTGCATGTGTGTGATTTTATGGAATCTCTACACATTGCTAAAATATGTGTCAAGAATATTTTACGCTTCATAGCAGCAAATATACTGAAGAAGCAATCATGGAAAGCCAACAATGGGTGGTCCTACAGCTCAGGGATTCGACATGGGGCTAACAACTACTCACCATACAAAAATGATTGTTACTGTCACGTGTATTAGTGACTAGTAGACAAGGTCTGGACTGCCGAGTCAATTTATTGGATATTCACCAGTAGTAACTACAATTAACTTAACTACAATTAACTATAACACTCTCAAGATTATGGTAATTATAACACATAAATAACGTCTGCTTACACTGGTTGCTGCTAGGCAACAAATCTCAACAATGGCTATGCCTTTACAATGCCATCACAATCCGTTTCCTGGCAACGGATTTATAACACGTGTGCGTGCGCGCACACACACACACACAGACACTCCAACCATTACACTTAAATTCTTCTCTTCTCAGCCGCACTCTTGCAACTAACTCTTTTCTTCACAACCTCCTGTACAGAACTGAACTCTCTTTCCATGATGGTTTCATGTCCTTGATTCATGGTTTCTCAGCTACAACTATCTACGACTGACTTCTCGGTTATTCTGGATACATTTATAATTCTCTGGTATGGACCACATAAAAAACACCCTCCTCTGTTGTATTATAATGCAATTGCCTAGCAGCGAATTATAATGATGTATTATTACACAGGGCCTCAGACTTTGATGGATTCTTTGTAATGACCTATGCAAAGTAAAATGGGTGTGAGGCTTGGAGTACATCGAGTGTCCAGGAATGTTGTTTGCAATGCTGCATTTCTGACTGATATTGAGTTTAAGTTTTAAAGATACAAATTTACTACTGACAAAGTTAATCTACAGTACATATACTATGCCATAACATAATAAATTCCATTTTGACAAGACTAAATGGCAATATGGATGATATTGTCATGTATATTAGTGACTTGTAGATGGGTTTGGATTGGTGAATTGATTTATTGGATACTCACACATTGTAAGTACAAGAAATTATAACACTCTGAGGATTACCGTACTACGAGGGTAAGTCAATAAGTAAGTTACAAATGGATAGAACTTAAACAAATAAGAGTATTGATTCGATAAATGCTTTTATTTCTGAACATAATCTCCCTATACATTGAGGCATTTGTCCCATCGTTTCATAAGCCCCTGAAAACCAGCAGCATCAAATTTGTTGGGCTGCTGTAGGAACCAGGCAGTGACTTCCATCTCTAAAGCTTCATCGTCGGGAAAATGTTCAGCTGAAAGATGATGTTTAAGAGAGCAGAAAAAATGGAAGTCGCTTGGAGCAAGGTTGGGGCTATACGGACGATCCTTGAGGACTTCCCACTTAAAATTTCGCAGTGTCTCATTTGTCTTGTTGGCAGTATATTGATGCACACTGTCATGCAAGAGCAACACGCCTTTGATACAGAAGGAGTCGGCATTTACGTAAATGCCAACTACTACTGTAACATCCTCAGGATGTAAATCTTCCCTGTAAAGGGAAGTCACCGCCTGGTTCCGACAGCAGCTCAAACAATGTTATCCTGCTGGTTTTCAGGGGCTTGTGAAACGATGGGACAAGTACCTCAATGTACAGGGAGATTATGTCAAAAAATAAAAGCATTTTTCAAATCAGTACTCTTATTTATTTAAGTTCTATATCCATTTGTAACTTACTTATTGACTTTACCTACATATAACATACAAATTTAATTCTTCAACGTCTGCTTACTAGTCCATTCTCAATCCTCAATCCTTTAGGTCTGCTTACTAGTCCATTCTCAATCCTCAATCCTTTAGAACTATCTCTCTCAAACTCTATATCTCAGCCTGTGCTGGCTTCAAGCAGACCGGAGATAGAACACCAGGTACAACAGTTCATTCCTTTGTTATTCACCATTGCCATGAAAACGTGCGCCAACTCACCACTGTACTGAAAACTCAGTGTTTACTTGGCTGTTGCTTATCAACAGACTGTTCCAGATGGTCATCCCAGAAACGCATTTCAACAAGGTGTTGCCTATCAATGGCCGTCGTCACTGACTTTACTATTCCGGCTTTCAAGTGTCACATCACAATATACTACATAAAGGAATCAGTCCCTTTCTTTCTGTTTCAATAAACATATACTGCACAGAAAAATTTGTCATTCAAATGTTACCACAGCTCTTCACTGAGTTCTATAATTTTTATGAATGACAAGCTACATAGAATTTAAGATTCTCACAGCAGTGTTTATGAAGGCTACGTCTTCTGGGATGAAACACCACTGACTCTGAACAGACTACATGACATCATTATATCCCAGAAGATAGACCTCTCGTTTCGAGAAATGTACCAACTGCGTCAAGATAAGCATCAAGACAGGAGACAAAAGACGCAGTCTTGCTTCATCTGTGATTGGTCAGCATGAAGCTGACATCAGCATCATGACTCAGACCAGTGTGCGGTGGTTTTCATAATCTCATTCATTTAAACTGTGCTCCTTTCTTGGCATCACATTGCAAGACATCATGTCTTGACGCATGCTGGTGTGAGGCCTACCTAATGTTTAATTTTGACTTCAGTTAGAGTGAGGGTTGTACTGGGCCTATTCAGAATTTTCAGAGAGTTTTCTATGTAGACCACCAATACCACATTTCATTAACAGCCATTCAGTAAGCGTGCACTTAGAATATGTGAAAACTTACCATTTTTAGAACTTCTTAGAATGAAGCTGACGCTTGGAAGCCACTTATTCACATCACATAATTCTTGCAACCACAATGAGTGTACTTCAGTCTTCTCCTTACTAGATTCCTCATTAAACTGAAACTGTCTGCCATTAATCCTGTCATTCATATTATCACTCTCACAATCAATCTGATCTGGATCCAGTACATGAGATTCCACAACCCGTGGGTTCCCTGTATGATCAGGTTCATGTAATGCACAACTCGTAAGTCGCGATTGCTTAAGGTCAACAACACAACTTTGAAGATGCTGTGAAACTTCTTCTAATGGATGATGATCTACAGATTTTTCTACAGAAAGGTTACCTACATATCTCAACTGTTTTGTATCAGCTATAAAACTACAGCTTTCACCTACTTTCCCATCCACTCCATGTATCAATGAGGGACTAACATTTAATTCTGAACACTCAGTAATCATTTCTGGTTCAGAAGAGACTATTGTTTTGTTTTCATGCAACACTGAGTGCTCTTCTGGAATTGCAGAACTAGAAATTTTTGCTTCTGTGTTTCTGAGATCCCAAAAACATGCCTGAAGTAGTCTCATAAGTTGCAAAAGAGTTGGAACATCTGGCAGAGAAAGCAAATCAAGCAGCATATGAATGATGGTGACTCTTTTAGCAATCTCCATACGAACACTTGGCACACAACTCAGGTTTCCCATAATCCCAACTAAGATCTCCTGTAAAACATAAAAAGAAGACAGAATTACTCTAGTAAGATTTGAGGCTTTCACGGCAGTGACTATGAAGAAAGCAGTCTTCTGGGATTTGGCACCATGTATATTATTATTATTATTATTATTTTACTGCAATTGGATTTTAACCCGGTGTCAGTAGTACAACAAAGGGCAACAGACAAGTAATTACAAAAAGTAACAACACGTTCAAACAATACACAAAACACAACAAGGACTCCCTACCACAATGAATACAAAGCAGCATAACAGAGAGAATACAAAAAAAAAATAAATAAATAAATAAACCGATCAGTCATGGTTCAGTATTGTCATGTAAAGGTGCTGTCATTTTCACTTTACTTCACTTAACTTCCCTTCCCTTCCCTTCACTTCACTTTACCGCGATTTAACACATCACACTCAAAACAAAATATGAATACAATGCAAATATGATACAATGCAACAAGTACAATTAAGTAGTTAATAAAATAAGAAAAACAGGTATGTTATAGACTAAATTTATTAACGTTGATATTATACGCAATGTCAATAAGTTCTTTTATCCACTCATATAAGTCATTGCACTTGACAAAGCCCCTTCACATTCCTTCACTTGTTTACCTTCCAGCTCCACCTAAAACTTATTTACTTGTAACTGCATCCCTGACCCTCTTTCTAAATGTGTTTAGTTTACATGGGAAAGACGCTAGCGTGCCTGCAGGTAAACTGTTCCAATGTCGTGTTAACTGACGTTTCAGAGGAACGTATCGCCTCCATCTTCAGGGTAGAAGGAAAAATATAAGAAATACGCAAGCAAAGAGACCGTGAGAACCGGTAAAAGCAGTCTTCTACCCTGAAGATGGAGGCGATACGTTCCTCCGAAACGTCGGTTAACACCACATATACACGGTGCCAAATCCCAGAAGACTGCTTTCTTCAGAATTACTCTTGTTCTATGCACCATACCAATAGTGTATCAAAAACTGAGCATGTATAGGTCCACATATTGTACATGGAGCATGAAGGTAAAAGCTCCACGCTTCTCAAACCTTATCAGTTTGGTGCTTGTAAGTCCTAATAAAGTAGGATAAAGTTCCCATCAGAACAGGGGCTGAATTCTGGAGTAAGCCAGATTATGACAAGGGAAAAAATCCCTTCTCCCTGACATCTGGAAAGAAATCTAGCACCAGTTGTGAAAGCAAGACAAGTTACTGGCTGTGCTCACTTGGTTCAACCAGACTTCACACGTTGACAATACAATTTATTTCACGAGTCATATTTTGTTTCATAAGATTCGTTGAAGGCACTATAATCTGCAGAAGCTAAGTGGCATTAAACACAATGAAAAGATAATTATGTGTAATGAGGTGGCAAAGGATAGGAATGAAAGCAACAGACCTTGCCCTTACCTGCCATCCAGTCATAGCAATGGTGTGTGTCTGTAAGAATGCATTTGTAGTAGTATTATGTTTGAAGGTAAACTTGAAGTAGAATTATCACCAAGCATTCATGATACAGAGAGTGTCATTGCTACCCAACAAAATGAACCTCTTCAGGGAAATGAATAAGCAGTAGGGAATTCACTGGCAGATGGTGCCCTACTACTTATGCATATTTACATGGTGGGACAGATTTCAACAGGAGGGAAGAGATACTTCATGACACAGTGGAATTGGCCTTCAGGCTAAAAAAGTAGTATTACATTGTATTACTTTCAATTACATTATTCAATTACGTTTCCACCGCTATAACAGAGGGTTCGTTGCATAGCAGCAACCAAGGTTATATTGAATTGAATTGAATTTATTTACATTCTATAAATCCTAAGCAGGTTAGTACCTTTGGATACAGAACAAGTCAAAAGATTACATACATAAGTACAGGCAATTTTAGCTTAAAAATTAATATAACTTAATTATACATCATTCTCTATTTACATTGAAATATTCATCTAAAGAGTAGAAGGAATGAGCATGTAGATAATTCTTTAACTCTGATTTAAACTTTTTAGTATCATTGCCCAAGTTTTTAATACTTTGTGGCAGATTGTTGAACACTTTTATGCCAGTAAAGTAGACTCCTTTTTGATATACTGATAAAGTTGATGAGGGTAGGTGGAAGTTATATTTTTGTCTAGTATTCATGTTATAGACATCAGAATTTAATTTGAATTTGAATTTAATTTGAACAACAAATAGGAGAAGCGATAATATGTATTGCGATTGAAGCGGTAGAATTTTTAATTTCTTAAATAATTCTCTACATGAATCTCTACTTCTACATCCTGTAATGATTCTAATTATATTCTTTTGTATTTTAAAAATTATTACACTATGTGAAGAGTTCCCCCAAAATATTAATCCATAGTTCATAATAGAATGAAAGTAGGCATGGTAAACCATCTTCAATGTTTCCTGTGACATAAAAGGCTTAATTGATCTCATCGCATAGCAAGCTGCATTTAATTTAGGTATAATTTGTTCAATATGTATTTTCCAAGACAGTGTACTGTCTACATGTATTCCAAGGAATTTTGTATCAAGTACTTTACAGATTAATTTGTTGGCATAACTGATGTCCAGATCAATTTGGTGGTTGTTTTTAGTTGTGAATGATATGTAATGGGTTTTATCAAAATTTAATGAGAGTAAATTGGCTTCGAACCATCTGTTTAAGGCTTCAAATACAATATTTATGTCATTTTTAAAGTTTTCAAATTTAGAGTTCTTAAATATTATACTAGTGTCATCTGCATATAGAATTGGTTTAGATTTATTGTTGATGGTTTTAGATAGATCATTTATGTAGAGAAGAAAAAGTAAGGGACCTAAAATTGATCCTTGTGGAACACCGTGCTTTATAATTCCCCAGTTTGAAAATGCATTATGACTGGAGTTTTTATTATTTATTTCAACTCTTTGATACCTGTTTTTGAGGTATGATTTGATCCATTCATTAGCTTTGCCAGTTATTCCATAGAAATTTAATTTCGATAGTAAGATATCATGATTAACACAATCGAAAGCTTTTGCTAGATCACAGAAAATCCCTCCCACAATTAATCTGTCATTGAGAGCACTTAAAATATCGTTAGTTAGTTCATAGGTTGCTTTTTCTGTTGTTAGGTCTTTCCTAAATCCAAATTGCTCTTTGACTAATATGTTGTTAGAATTTAAGTGTTCAAGTAGTCTATTATACATAACTTTTTCAAAGACTTTTGAGAATGAAGTCAATATGGATATTGGTCTGTAATTAGAGATGCATTTTCTCTCTCCTTTTTTAAAAAGTGGTTTCATTACAGCGTATTTTAAGCGTTGAGGAAAAGTACCTGATGATAAAGATTTATTACATAGATGATTCAAGGGTGAACTGATGTAAACAGAGCTTGCTTTAAGTAATTTGGTAGAGATTTCATCATATCCATGTGAATTTTTGGGCTTAAGGGATTTAATAATGTTTTCAATTTCCTTCCTTGTTGAGAATTTGAGATTGATATTTGGAAATGAATTGTTAAAGGCACGAGACAGATAGTATATTGGATTATTATTATTATTATTATTATTATTATTATTATTATTATTATTATTAGTATTGTTGTTATTGGAATATGTTTTCTCAGCTAATGAAAGGAAATATTCATTAAATGCACTTGCGATAGCTTGTGGATTGTTAGTGGACTTCCCTTCAATATTCAAACTTTGTACGTCTTCATTAACAGATTTCTTTCCTGATTCAACTTTCACAATATCCCAGGTGGTTTTAATTTTATTGTTTGATTTTAGAATTTGGCTGTTATAGTTATTCTGTTTGGCTTCTTTAATGACTTTTGACAAAATTTTACAGTACATTTTGTAGTGACTTTTTAGTCTTGGATCATTACTGTCCCTACTGGCCAAATATAGTTGTCTTTTGTGTTTACATGAAGTTTTTATTCCAATTGTTATCCAGGTGGATTTGTTTTTATTTTCATTTTTGACTATTTTTAAGGGAAAGCTTGAATAAAAGATCCTCAAGTATGTGTTCAGAAAGCAATTAAATTTAGAATCAATATTATTGCTGTCAAATACATTGTCCCATGATTCATTACTTAATTTTGTGACAAAATCTGCCATCGTATGCTTGTTGATTTTCCTTACTGTTTGATATTGTTGATTACTGGGCTGAAGGTCAATATTATTTATTTCTATGAGTTGAGCATCATGATCGGATAAGCCATTTATAAAGGGTCCTACAGTATAGTCTCTTAATTTTGAGTTATCAATGAATATATTATCTATCGCTGAACTAGAATTATTTTGAACTCTTGTGGGAAAGTTAACAGTACTGGAGAGATTGTAAGATGATAACAAAGAGTCTAAATTTAGTTTCCTATTACTGTCGATGAGATAGTTTATATTTATATCACCACAAATTATAAATTCAACTTTTGAACTATGCAGTACATTTAGGATGGTTTCTAATCTATTTATAAAGTGATTGAAGTTTCCAGATGGGGCTCTATATAAAGTCAGTATACAAATATTAGAAAAAGGAGAGTCTAACTTTAGAGCACATGCTTCCAGATCCTGGTCTTTGCAATAATCTTCTAAATTTATTTTAGTAAATTTTAGGTTTTCATGTACAAAAATACTCACTCCTCCTTTCTCCAGTGTTTTCCTACAGTATCTAGCACCTAAATTATAATTTTCTAAGTGAAGATGTTCTAATTCCAGCTGTTTCATGTGATGTTCAGTAAGGCACAGTATGTGTGGAAGATTTAAATTCATGGAGCTTATTAGTTCATTTGTTTTGTGTTTCAATCCTCTTATATTCTGATGGAATATTCTTAGTACTTTATTATTCATTGAATTTAGTAGACTGCAATTACCTTTTCCGATTTCTATTGGTTCACTTACATTATTGTCTGAAAGATTAGTTTCTTTTGCAATTTCTTTTACTTGATAAACTTTACTTGCACTCTTTTATCCTAAAAAATGATTCTGAACACCCATGACAACTGGAATGTGTCTGCCCTTAATGCTCTCTGCAATGAGTCGCATCAGCTTGTCCTTGCCTCAAGGATTAAGATGCATGATTAAGATCATGTGTTCCAACCTTGATTGTAACAGTACTGTTCTGACGCTCGTTGGGAAATGGCAGTTGAACAGAGAGCCAACATGAAATTTTGTTTGAAGTTAGGCAAAACAGCCGGAGAAGCGTACGAAATGATGAAAAGTTAGTATGGTAGTGACTGTTTGAGTAGCTCAAACATTTTTCGATGGTATGCTGTATTTCGTGATGGCAGGGAGGACACTGAAGACGCTCCACATGCATCAAAGCTGAGAACAAGTCACACTGAAGGAAATGTGAAAAAAGTGACCCAAATTCTTGCATCAGATAAATGTGTTTCTGCAAGACTCATCGAGGAGCTTTTGGGGATACCAAAATGTACTGTGCATCAAATTTTGACCAAGGATTTGGGCAAATGGAAGGTCTGTGCGCAGTTTCTACCACACGTTGTCAGGCGATGAAAAACATGCCAGAGCGGAACACTCCAAAGACATGTTATGGTCGACCCAAAGTGATACAAAATTTACAAAATCGATTGTTACTGGTGACGAGACATGGTGTTTTCAATATGAGCCTCTCACAAATCGGCAGAGTGCAGTGTGTTTGAGCCCAAAGAAGCCGAAACCAAAGAAAGTGCACATGCAAAAGAGTTGAGTACAGATACTGCTAACCGTTTTCTTCGATTCCAAAGGAATCATTCACAAGGAATTTCTGCCAGAAGGTCAAACAGTGAATTCTGATTATTATCTTGGAGTCCTGACATTTGTGGGAAAGAATTCTTTGAATTCGACCTGAATATCGAGAGCAAGGTTCCTGGTCGCTCCTCCATGACAATGCCCTGGCACACCCCACAAATTGAAGATTGTGTGCAATAATTTGGCCACAAAAGGGATCACAGTCCTTAATCATCCTCCATATTCGCCAGATTTGGCTCCATCATATTTCTGGTTGTTCTCAAAAGTTAAGTTGGCGATGAAAGGAGACCGTCACGACACCATCCAGGACACCCAAAGGGAATGTACCGCAGTTTTAAATGCAATTCCACAAAAGGAGTACAGTGACTGTTTTCGAAAGCTTTTCAATCGATTCCGGCTATGTATAGATTCAGAAGGAGACTATTTTGAATAAAAAGAGTGAAATTTTGACAATAATTCACATCTTGTATTTTTAATGAACACAGTCCTAACAGAACCTGGACACACTTTGTATGTACATTCAGTGCTCCTTTTTGGTTATTATACAGGTGAATCTGAAATGTGTAGGGAAAGTCTGTGGATGAGCTCCGCATACCGAAACAAGAAAACAAGTTAACATAAATATGGGTCCACAAATGCTTCCTTTCTGAATTACAGCACTGAAAGGATACATTTACATGAAGTGCTAAAAATGCCCTCCACAAGATTTAATATATGCTTCCACACAACTTATCATGGACTGCAGAATGTGTTCAAAGATCTCAGGATAGGTGTGGATAGTCTGATAAGAATTCATAGTCCACTGGTGCAGTGTCTCCATGTTGTGAACAGAAGCTAAATACACAAGGATTTTTTAGTGCCGCCACAGGCAGAAATCCATAGGATTAAAATCAAGTGAGTACAGGGGTCAAGCAGTGGGTTCCCTTCTATGTATGTACTAGTTATTATCGGTATTGTTGGAGATATCTTGCACAGCATAGCTGAAATGTACTGGAACACCATCATGCATGAACCATACACATTCTTTGAATGCCCACGGTAAATCTCCTAGTAGATAGGGCACATCATTTAACAGGAAATCTCAGTAGTTATTTCCTGTAAGGTGAAATGGCAAAATCTGTGGGCCTACCAAACAATCACCAACAATATGTGCCCAACCATTAACACTAATTGTTGCCAGCGTCTGCACTGGAGGACACCCTGAGAATTATCCTCTGCCCACTGACAGTGGTTGTGAAAATTAATGACATATCTACCAAAACCTGCCTTGTCTGAAATGAGAGTTGACAAATGAAAAAGAGGCTCAGCACATTGCTGAACTAACCACTGAAACAAGGACTCGCTATAAAATTGAATGTTCCGGCTGCTCAAAGACGAGCAGAGGCACACAGTCCTCTAACCATTTCCATTTGCATGGCCATATATAATATGCACATCTGTCAATTCATTAAATGGATACACACACATACTGTGGTATTCACGACAACACAGTACAAGGAAGCTATAATTTCACGCCACATACTGTAGCACATCTTCTTGTACATTTTTTCACTACAGATAAACATTACACATAATGAACACCGCTCAACTAATGAAACTGGACTGTAACAAGTGACACAGATGGCATTAAGGATGTGTCTGAAGGTCAAATGTACGACTATGTTGTGCACAGGCTCTTGCTCCTCTAGGAGAAAGATAAGATCCACCAAAGTTGAGAACATCAGTTGAAATGACCACTAAATTTGTCAGGCTGTAACTCTGAAAGAAGGCAAATGTTTATACACTTCTTTCAATGTTTTGGGATGTGGAGTTCATGCCCATAGTTTCGCAAATTTCAGATTCGCCAAGTACACTCTTCATTTATAATCATGTCATTTGTGATACATGACGTAAGACAAAAGGGAAGGTTTGAAGGAATTACTGTCTGCCAAGGTACTATCTATGAATTAATTTGGAAGAGACTATGAAATATCACAAGAAACTCCAAACAGGACACTCAGTGACCCAGCTAAAATCTCAATGGGACCCCAAAATAAATGTCAAGTATGTTACTCTTGAACATACCTGCTTGATAGTCAATTCCTAAGTTCACATTTGTCCAACAATTAGGATTTGTTTTACTAATTCACAGAAAATACTCCTGTATTTCATAATATATTTATAAAAGTATGCTGAGCACAAAGCGAATGGGGGCAGGGGAGTATGCACACATTCACATTATTCCTGCTACCAGGATTTAATCTTCTAGATTGTGGTGTTCCATGCTGACACCACATAATCAAATGTAGTAGAGTTGGCAGCACTCTTGCTCCTAATTCTGCAGGTCCTGGGCTCAAATTTCAGCCCCGAGACCACCTATGATTCCCCCCCCCCCATGTAAATTCCAGAATATTACCTCAAAATAGGCCATGACCACTTCCTTCTCTATCATTTTCAATTCATTACTCACTAATCATCCTACCATTCAACACTGCATAGTCTAAGCTACTGACTGAATCAAGTAAGACTTGTAGACAGATACCAATGTTTCAGAGGAACTTCTGCCTTTATCTTCAGTGTAGAAGTGAAGATGGAGGCAGCTTGTTCCTCCAAATTAATCACCTATGAGACACTTTGTTATAACCCATATTTTTATTTTTTTTTTATTGCTAGTGGGGTGGGACTAAGTTCGTTGTACTGCGCCCATTTCTGGCCTATTGTACCAGCCCCAGATGATAGGTGAGGGTGATTGTGGAGCAACTGGTGGAACGAAGATTGGTAGGGGAAACCGAAGTACTCGGAGAAAACCTGCACCAGTGCCACTTTGTCCACCACAAATCCCACCTGACCAGACCCGGGATTGAACCCGGGCCACCGCAGTGGGAAGCCAGTGACTAACCGCTTGAGTTATGGTGTGGCCGTTATAACCCATAAGACTATAATCTAAATTTTCACCACATGAAAAATTACAAACTTATATAAGTTTTTCATGTGGCCAACATAATACTGATCATAAGAATTATGCTATGTTGAAGATGTCTTACTGGAATTACATTTATAGAATCAGCCAATGACAAACAGTGAAGTACAAAAATGAAACTAAATCCTTTATCACAAAAAATAAGTCATATGAATGCCAGCAAATGAACCAGAACTGATAGTTAACAATAGCTATATACCAGACCCAAGGCCTACTGTATAGCATGAGATATATATCATGTTTATCATATTCCAGAATAAACTTACCATTAGCCTAGGTATGGTAGTGTCACGTATGATCCGAGAGGCCAAATCCAGAAAATCATATTGCATCAATAATTCTACCACATCTGGCTCAATTGTCATGTCCCAAAGTAAACACAACTCTGTCTCAACATCTTCTGACCAATCTTCTGAACAAAACTACAAATAAAAGTCACAGAAAATGAGTCACAATGTTAACTAGGAATGCGGGAGTAGAATTTTTTGAAGTAAGTTGAGGAAAAGTATCTCAATTTAGATTAGAGCATTAATTTTTCATTCTCCAACTTTGAGAATTTTCACATAGCTGCCTTTGCTTTACAAAGAACAATGAGAATATAACAATGTCCAGAAGGACAAGACTTTTATAATAAATAACTTCTTATATTCTAGGTTACATATCCTGATGACCTGCATAAATACTGTGACAAGACAATATACCAAACATCTCAAGCATACTTGAGACCTCTGCTCAGAAGCCAACCATTACTATAGCCTGAGCCATTCTATTAGTGGTCTATTTGTTATGTTGGCTGAACAAACAGAAAACTATTTTCAGGCCTTAAGCACCAAACCTGTTATAAGGTTTGTTATTATTTTTGTAATAAACCACCTTCTAAAGGTAGGGCTGAAGGTGGCAATAATTCATTGATCCATAGGCTTCATAAATGATTCTGTTCTCAGATCAGGTAAATTCTTTAATATAATTACTGAAACTGACAAGGTCTGAAAAATGCTAGGATCATTGTCAAGGAGGAGAATTTTTAAAGACAGCTTCCTCCTCCCATAATACAGTTTCAATTCATGATGGACTTGGGACGTATAATACTGTATGCAAATGGCTAAGTAACCTAACCTTTCTCTTTGGAGTGTAATGTAACAGGCAAGTGAATGCATCACAGGCTTGATTTTAAACCCCATGTTGACAACATTCATAACACTTCACAATATCTAATTACAATTCTTAAAGTGATAGCTTTTCTCTTCCCCTGATCATCTGTACTATTGTCACCATTACATGGATGCTCATTACTTCCAGGCATCATGAAGGTAAAAATATCTACACATGTGTATACTACAAAAATTAAATGTTATCACGTGTCAGTGAACCAACAGAGGGCTCGGACTGATAACCAGGCTAATCAAACATTGATAATCTTCAGAGATATTGGGTTTTCGGACTTTATCCATCATCCTGGTTATAAAGATGACTAACAAAAACATGACGTTTTGGAAACTGGATCTCAGGATGGAAACAGATCCAGTTTCCGAAATGTCGTGTTTTTGTTAGTCATCTTTAAAACCAGAATGATGGATAAAGTCCGAAAACCCAATATCTCTGTGTGTTATACACCATCGTCAGAATCCTATAGTAACTAATTGATAATCTTATTTAAAAATATGCGCTATCATTTCATGATCACTTATATTACTCTTGCTGTTTGACTCTGTCATCAAAGACATTTTGCTAGGCTTCATGTTCTTATAACAGAGATTATTCTGTTAGTTTGTCAACTTTCTATATATCCCTTTGTAGTACACTGATTAGAAAATGCTGCCTACAATATTTATTCTAATGTCGTGTTTGTTCATCACTGTTGGGGACCAGTCATTGAATACAAATGTGGCTGTTGGTGCCTGATGCTTTACATTAGCTAGCAATGGACACCTCTGGTTCCAAGATTTGTCCTTTTAGGCACCATGCCACAATACTGTCTGACTGGGCCACCAGGAAGCTTCCAGGACACAAAACACTGTACATATCATGGCGGTGGCAGTGTTAATGTAAGGAAGCATACATAGGCTGAAATGATTTTTCTGGTTCAGCAATCAATGCAGCATTACATTATACTGAAATCATGTAAATTCATGGGCATAAAATTAATAGCGATAATGCTCTATGCTCGTATTTGGCAGATGCCTGGGCGAAAATCTCAGCAGCTTAAGCCAGACTAGTACCTGGCGTAAGACACCTTTTCCAATTCGTCATTTCATAATCATTCAACATTTGAAAACCATATATAGTCCAGATACTGACACAATCATAAAATAACCTACAAAAGACATGCATAAGTTGAGCTATAAACTGTACTCTCAAAAATTGGTTAAAGCATTTCTCCTTCGATTAAGCACATTGACAGAAACTGCAAGTAGATCACCATTCTCAACAATTTAACAAGTTCAGCTCCTCTTAAAGTAATTATGCCTCTATATAAATCCATAATATTTTTTATATTTATTGCATGTTTCATGCTAATTACTCTTTTGAAATTTCTTTTACCTTCATAAGCTTCATCAGAATCTTGAGAACCCAACATTCACTGTACAGCGTGGTACCGATAGCATCTCCCCGCATCCTACTGACATCATGCTCCATCTCAACAGGAAGGGAAGGGTTGCATTGCCTTGACTCTTCAGGCAATGCAGAGGAGTCAGTTTCACTTTCATTATTCCTGTGCAAAACCAACAAAACAAACCAACCCTTGAGGAAGTACATGCTCTGACAATAAAGTACCTAGACTGGTGTGAAAAAAATAAAAGTATCAGGAAACAAAAAATTGTTATATTTCTATTCAAAGTAATCTCCACCCACTTGAATACATTTGTTGAATCATTTAAAAAGGTTTTTAAAACAGTCAGCAAAGGCCTGCAGAGGAACAATATTCAGTTCAACCATCATGCTTTTCTTAATGTCTTCAACATCCTGAAATGTCTTCCTTTGAGGGCAGTTCTCACCTTAGAAAACATAAAAATGCAATCAAGAAAACTGGGACTGTATTGACAAGTCTGGATGAAGTCTTGGCATGATGTGAGTCTCCACTGCTGCTGGTCATTCGTGAGTCTGTGTGGGACAAACATTGTGCAGATCTTCCTCTTCTGTAAATCTTCATGGATGGTTTCACGAACCGTCTCCTTATTGATGTTCAATTCATCCATCATTCTGAGAGCCCATCGATGAACTCGTCATCATTTCATGGACATCTGCGATTGTGTCTGCATTTTTACACGTTGAAGGACCCTTGCTTCTGGGATCATCCTGAAGATCCTCATGCCTGCCTGCCTGCCTTTAAATCATTTAAACAGTTCAGTCACACTATTTACCACTTAAGGCTTCATCACCATAGACAGTTTACAACATTTCATAAGTTTCTATTGACACTTTACCCCGTTTAAAACAAAATTTGGAATTCATTAGTTGCTCCATGGATAAAAAGTGACAGCAGTTAGAAACACAACTCACTGAGCTGCAGCTGTTGCAGGGTATCATGACTCACCATGCAGCCTCTAAGTTCATAGTTGATGCCAGGAGAGTTATGCAGTATTTTGGTGTTTGGTAAATTCTGTTGTTGTTTCATCATGTACAAAATTAATCGGGGGCACATGGTAGTGTAGTTGGTTGAGGGGCTATGCTACAAGCCGGAAAGTCGCAGGTTCAAGTCCCGATAAGGTCATTAGATTTTTTTCATTTGACCTAATCCTTCTTGCCGCACTATGGCCCTGGGGTTCACTCAGCCTCTAACAGAAATGAGTACCAGGAAATAATTAAATAAATTTCCTGGGGAGTAAAGCGTTGCCGGTGTGTAAGGCTGACCTTACCACCATCTTTGAGCCAATTGTCTAGATAATGTGGGACCCTCGTCTCACAACCCTAGGGGCCTTCACGGCCTGGTACAGGGATAGCTTTACCTTTTACTTACAAAATTAATCTTTATTTGTGCCAAGTTTAAAATGGTTGCAAATGTTATGAGTGTCAGAAAATATTATAAAACAGTGCTGTAACCTGCTGAATGTCAATCACAGTACAATTTTCATGAAAAATTTAAGACATCTGTTGGCATTAACAATAAAAAAGAGCCCTAGCATTCAGAAAGTACTTACACTTCACTCTCTAAGCTCACAAAACTAAACTGAAGTCTGAGGTGATCACATTGACACAGTGTTGATTTGACACTGAAGGCACCCATGATTCAAGTTTAGATCACAAGAAATTTTGGACAAAAGATATTATCCAGCTCTTCAAAATGTCTCCATTGTTACAGAGCACAATGCTCATCATCACCATCACAAAAGCTCACCATACACCTTAATAAATTCTCATAGTCTCAGAAACATTTTCTGCAAGTTTAATTTTAGGTCCCTAGTTGGGTCATTTCATATCAAATTAGCATACAAAAGATACATTTCACAACCTGACCTGTGAGAATTGAATGATTTTTTGACATTATAAGCCCAACTGACATAAATGTTCTCACAAACTTTACTGCATTATGGCCCATAGAGTTTTAGAGCAGATATTCAAAATTGTCAAAAACTCTTTTCTTTGGCACTAGTTGGTTTAGAAAAGTGGCACAACTTCTGTCCTATTTGAGACAGAGATCATTTTAGGATCATTTCAAAGTTAATAAAAGTCCTTTCCAATGGCCATTATACTAATACAGTGGAACCTTGCTTAATGAGCACCTCTCATAACGAGTAATTCGCATAACGAGCAAAACAAATTGTAAAAAAAGACTCGCTTAACAAGCGACGTATTGCATAAGGAGTGATGAGAGGGGAAGTCCCGGATCTTGCGCTTGCTACATTAGTCTGTGTTTAGCACTTGTTCCGCTAGTTCCGTTAGTGTCGCTTGTGATCACACATTTTTCCAAACTTGTGTTCAGACATATTATTTGTGATTTTTTTTTTTTGCAAAGTTTAATAACCCTTGCAAAAATGTCCCAAAGAAAAAGCCACAAAAAGACAGCCATAAGAGAATAAAAATAACCGTAGAAATGAAACGTAAAATCATTGAAAAGAGAGAACAAGGTGTGAGCGTGGCTGATCTAGCACGCACATACAATCAGTCTACATCAACGATTTGCACTATCCTCAAGGATGAGGAGGAGGAGGAGGTAACACCAAAGCAACAATCTTCTGGTGCAATAAGAGAAATGCTGAAAGCATGGGAAACTGTTGCATCGTACATTGAGAAGCATCACCCTAATAAGGCTGTGGCTATGTACGCTACAAATTTATTTAATGATAATGCTGTGTCGCATTTTCACCAAATTTTGAAGCGTCGGCAAAAACAAATGTCTCTAGAAAGCTTTCTCGTAAAAAAGAATTAGATATGTATCATAAATAATAAACTAATTATTTCCATTTTTTTTTCTGCAAATTGAATTTGCATTCCAGGTTGGTTCATTCTGCATAGAAGAAAAGATGAAGATGATTCACACTCCTTAACAATGTATACATAATTTTCTTTGAATAAACGTTATACATAAAATTTTTTGAGTATTTTTTTCAGCATGGAACACATTATCGTATTTGACATTAATTTATATGGGAAAAATTGTTTCGCTTAATGAGTGTTTCACATAACGAGTAAGATTCTGGAATGAATTATGCTCGTTAAGCGAGGTTCCACTGTATATTCAGCAGAGTTGTATTTCAAGGCTATCAAATTTGTACTTTGACGTATCTCATAAAATGCAGTATTTCAAATTAAAAATAAATACTGTGTGCATGTTAACTGTTATTTAAATTGGGACTGGGTTTCGTAAAGCACTTAACTCTGAAGAGTCACTTCACTAGTATTCATGAGGCAACATAAAGCAACATGTTTCTTTTAAATTCTCTGCACTCATTAAATTAGGTTAGCATGTATTAATTACAGGGGGATGCAGTAGCGTAGTTGGTTGAGGGACTATGCTACAAGCTGGAAGGTCACAGGATCGAATCCCAATGAGCTGGATTTTTTTCAATTTACCTAATCCTTCCAGCCGCGCTATGGCCCTGGGGTCGACTCAGCCTCTAACAGAACTGAGTACCATGAATTTTTTTGGGGGTAAAGGGCAGCAGGCACGTAGGGCTGACAACCTTACCGCCATCTATGAGCTGATTGTCTAGAAAATGTTGGAACCTCAACCTCTCACAACCCTATGGGCTTCCATGGCCTGTTACAGGGATACCTTTGCTTTTTTTTACGTCACTATATTAACTACATCTTTTTTACAATCATGTATCAGTAAGATTATTGCTTTAAATAGACGTGTATGTCCTACAAAAAAAAATGTGCATGTATTTTAAATGAATACAAGAAACAATATTTCTACTGCAATCAGATTCTATTAGTTGTAAATGTTGGGAAGGACCACACATTCCTAGTTTCCATTATTTGGTTTTTAGCTGATGGTTGTGAGTCATGAAGTGCCTGCAACATTGGCAGGTTTCATGTGATCCAGGCTGTGTGATCTGAGAGCTCTATGGCTAAGTGTTCCCTGAGCATCTGAGATATTCACATGTTCTAAACATTCTTTTCTGATTCCATATAAGAGATGTTTACTTTATATTTAATGATCTGCAATCCACCTCAGACGACTTTTTCCATGACTGCAGGGAATGTCCAGGGCCCATCAATTCAGAATATACATCAGTTGTATTCACTGATAATTCAACTGAAAACATCATCAAAAAGTGGATTCTGATGGACAGATGATGATCAGTGACCACTGTAAAGGTAACTAAGAATTCACTGAATCTCCATGGTTTTACTCCACAAGCGAACTACATCCACTGAGCAACTGCCACTTGTTGGGGAAGTTAGTACCAACTTTTGTGGATAGAGGGTGTCGCATGGTCAGCACAACAAATCCCCATGGCCGTTAATTCCGGTTTTCTAGACCAGAATCTCTATTTCCTTGAAATAGCCCCTCAATTGTCCTCACAAGGCTGAGTGGACCCTGTTCCAGAACCACTACTCAGAAAATCTGGTAGCACCAGGAAACAAACCCAGAACCTCTGGATCTGTGGCCACAAACTCTGCCCACTAGATCACAGAGGTGTTCAAATGCTTTGAATCACTGCTTGATAAAATAAAAGACAAGTATAACAACCAAATGTCAACTTGCAAAACTTCCTTCACACTGCTATGATAAACTGTGTTAATAAGAACAGGGTTAAAAATTGAACAGGAATGATGAAGGGGCTACCACTGATTTCTAGCAGAACCCCAAAGATCAACACTGTCATAAATAATACTAGTGGGACACAATCCTAACCCAGCCCTATCCAGCCATCCTCATGACCTATCACCTCAAGATCCTTCCATCTCCTTGATCTTCCAAGTGGATTTTTTGCTTGTAATCTTTGTTACCAGCCTAGCAGTAACTTAGTGAAGGATGAGAACGGTGATCTGCTTGCAGATTCCCACAACATTCTGAATAGGTGGAGGAACTACTTCTCTGTTATTGAATGTACATAGGG